TGCTGACTCATTCTTACCTTACTATTCGTCGTATGTCTGCCGCTTGACTCTCCGTTTAACAAGGGAGACTCAATTGTATTTGGTTAATTTTCGAGATACGTTTTTTACCTGTCCTGCGGCTTTCTTGATACAACAGAGGGCAAGCACTAGGTGTTGGCTCGTCGCCAAGACGGTGGTCTAGGGTATGTCCTATGTGATATTCCATTTGGCGAGCCTATTCATCTGCAGGCATAGAAACACGGCATGTCATGCAGGTGTGCAGAGTGGATGTTGGTTTGGAAGTAGTTAGTGAAGATAGAAAGCAAGGTGTGTGTGGAGAGAATTCTGTGCAAAATCCATAGTAAGTGCCGTTGACAGGGCGATGAGAATGTGCGTAGAGCTCGGGCCGCATAAATGTAAGTTCCGCGATGCTAGTTAATATAAGAAGGAAAAAGCATTCGCTGGTAGAAGTCGCACAATGGGCCAACTGAAAGAAGCTATAGAGTTCAACCAGCATACACGACGACAGTGGCAGTGGTGTGCAGATAATTAAAAAAAGAGAGAAAAATAAGACAAATGTGTAAGAGCATCGAAGCCATAAAAGCAAGCACACAGACTAGGTCTAAAAAAGAGCAAAAGCTTGAGACAGCAAATGATCGCTTCGAATAAATTTGGTAAGGAAAAATTCCTATGGGGTAATAGATACCAACAGATCAATGATTTCTGACCAACTTGAAGTATTCGACAGACTACCGGCGGGGTCCGTTCCCAATGACTTGTTAGAAGTCACGGAAGTGACTGGACCAAAATGCAATGTGGTGTACACTGATCCCGTGTATTTGCTAAAAATACAACACCGAACGGCGCTAAGCTAGGGAAGGATGTGAAGGTCCTCGCAATTAAGCGGCGCGTTGAATCCAACCATGATGCAGTGTGTGATTATTGGGTGCGTGCTGGACCAAACAAACGAAGTCCACATAGATCTCAGCATTCTACAAACAACCTAAGTGTAAAATAAGATGGTAATTTTATTTAGTATTTTACACAACATACTCAGGCAAAGCGGGGGAATTTATAGGCTGCTATAGTAATAGTGTCACAAATGCACAAATAAACAGAACCTTGACAAGATAGACGAGCGAAATTAATTGCCAGATGCCCAGGAATAACTTAGTAATAAGTCGTAAAACTGTCAATCAATCAGCAAACTATAAGATTCTAACCGACCATCATGATAAATTGCCGAACTCAGGTCAAAGCGGCTAGAATGAGGGTAATAGGACGAATACACTCATAAATTCTGATACACTACACTGATTACTAAGTCAATGGCTATTCGATACCGCATCAAAAGCGCTGCTAGCTGGAGTTTAACTGGCTGCATTGACACTGGTTCATCAGCCAAAATGATGGGGAAGGAAGCTAAAAATACGAAGAGGATGGTAATAAGTTTGCACCCACTGCCTATGCCAAGAAACCAAGCGCACCATTAGAAAGAAACAAGGCCTTAGCTCTACAGAACCGTACTCTACGCAAAATCGCCCTACATTTGTTAGTAGGATAAGGATATTTCCCTTCTGGCTACCTCGATATAGAATATTCCAATTAGTGCGGTTGAGGTTCTGTAATGTCTGCCGCAGTCACAGTAGTTGTTGCGCTCTGATCGGCAGATCCCTATCCTGGAGACAAGGACAAGTTGGCGTTGGGGAAGAGCGGATGGCAGAACACTTTTCTTCGGTCGGGTCTCGTTCCTGGATTTTCCTTGAGAGCAGGTGCGTCCGTCACTTCGATGCAGGAGCAAATCAAGGATCGAAGATGCTAGGTAGGCAAAGACTGGCGAGCTATCGATCGCGCCCAGGTGAATTTTTGGCGACACTGAGAGACAGCGTATGTGTGCGGTGGTTGACCTGACGGTAGCAGTGTTAGATGAAATGTGTTCACCTGTAGTAGACTTATGCAGCTACGGAGAGGAACAATACTGGTTATTAATTTATCTCCCAGAAATGGTCAGACTTCGTGGAGTAGGACGCAAAGCCAATGAAATGTACGCGAGCAATGTAGGAGAAAAATGCAGGAGATGAAAATATCTGGGAAATGCTAATCCATGATGTGTAGCTTCTAGGTATATGGAACGTCAGAAGGAGCCCATCGAGGATGGTCGAATGAGGGCGTGCGAGCGAGACTGCGATACAAATTGGACACACAATAGAGGAAGTGCCGAGACAATAAAATATTCCGACCGCACGCTAAAAATCGCGCGTCGTAATCCATTCATAAAACAAGTGCCTCAAGCTCACCCCTTCGACCATAGCTGTGTGACTTCGGAAATCTCTACTCATGAACACACTGCTTAATCCTGCCGGAAGGTTAAAGTGAATACATTAAAGGAATGTGTGTTTTGATGAGCACGTGAACTATGAATCCAATACAAGACGCACGACTAGATAGCTTAGCAGAAATCCGCCCAACAATCTCTTTCATGAATTGTTTAGCCAATTTTTAACTAGATATTACAAACGATCCCAGGCTGTGCCGCCGGGACATCATTCTCACTAACCGCTGACGATATAGTGACTCCCTTAAAACAATGCAGTGTTAATGTAATTGCTCAGTTTACACAAAGGACGGAAAAATCTATAGAGATGAGCCTCAACCCAACTTGTTGTATCTTATGAGAGGGAATGGGAGGTACCTCCGGTAGTGGAGACAACACTATTTTGCAAAGCACTGTCCATCATCATGATTTGTTTGTTAATAAGAGAAATATATTCCTCTACTAACTGTGGATCATTCGAGACGCTGTAGTGCCATCCACACTTATGGTATTTTAACTGTTCCTATGTTTACCCAACTCATTCTTTGAAATAGCATCTGCGGCTGTTTTCGCACTCTCCATTTTATTAGTTACTGTGAGGTACCGGAAAGAATGGTATTCATGTACAAATAGCAAATTTGACCACTGGGAAGCGGCCAACATGTTTGTCAATGATACATGACAGGCTCTTGAACTGGCGCTCCTAAACACCCCCCTAAGCATCCCTTCTTTGTTGTGGCACCTAATCTCTGCGGTCCGAACACCAATTTCCTAAACGGGGACAGACACTATGCACTGGCATCCAAACTCTCTGTGTAACGCATACAGTGGTGATCCAGAGGAAAGCAAAAACCAAATGATGAGCGTGTACAACATCGTTTCATCAGACTTCTCAAACCCTATCCTCTTGTTAGGGCCGAAAAATAGTAATAGTAACAAACAGCTGTTCTAAAGAGACAGCATTGGATTGAGTTCTCTACAGCTTACTTGAAAACTGACAACTTCACACTTGCTCGACCATTCCCGACTTAAATACTAATTTACTATGTCTCTGTCCTTGCAGCGATAGCCATTCCCATCCTTGAATTGACAGTAGACTCCCCAGTCCCACTCCAATCACTGGTTCATGAGTGCAGTCGTTATGTTGCCTTGTCAACATTTCATATTAAAGATAAAAGGTTACGTATTGTAAAAACTGAATTCATTGAGCACTTTACTTGGTATACTAAATGGTTTTTGATTGATTAGCGGTGACATCGGTCCGCATGAAGGCACTAAGTGGAAAATTTCCAAATATGTCGTATTCTTGTGTCAACCATAGCGATCCGAACGTCCTACCCCAATCCAAACATGTGATGGATGTGAATCAACCGCCTGACGACGATCGATCGGCTGAGCCAAACTATGATGCGAAAGTAGTGCTCGATTACCTCTCTAGGAACAGACTGCCTCATTCACTGAGCAAAATTCGCTTCATGAACTGGCCTGAGTACAGGAACCAAACGAATTCTTACATCATATTTGACGAAGAGCCTGGCCATATTTTGATGGGGCTGGAACCCAAAAAACGTCAGTGCACATTTTGGCATCGATTGTACCCAGCGATGCTACAACAAAGTGAGTGCAACCCATTTTTCCAGCTTCAGTGAGTTCCCGGGAAAAAGTTGCATCTATCCCATTGCCACCACTCATCCCTCGATGGTTGGAGTGAGGAACTCACTTAAACAAAGCTTTAATATTACCTAAGTTTCTACGAAAACATTTTCCATATGAGATTGGTAAGCAAAGAATTGTCTTACTTTGCTGCCATCAAAGAGGTCTTTTGTAACAATTATATTGATTGTATTGACAATTCACGTACTCTCTGATGCCCATCGAATTCGAGGCATGCAACCCCACTGCCACCAGCCAAACTGTCTCGACCTTATTCACCCTAGTTAGGACAGCAATGCAGATGATTCTTCTCAGACTAGAAGAAAGGTGAGCACCCTTCCTTGTAATCCGGTCGATCTCATGCCACATGCGTGACTAGCGGGCGTCTGGGGAGTCGATGTAATAATAATATATGGAGCAGTGATAGTAAAAATTGGGTCTCACCCAGTTCTACCTGCATTGTCTAAAGGGCGGAGAGGCTGGTTTTCACAAGCAGAAAGCGACAGAAATCTGACGACTAATACAATCGAATTTTAAGTCGACAGATGGTTTCGGTGAGGCGAACGGGCCGTTGGCTTCTGATGCGAAAGTCCTGTCCCACTGACCAAAGAAATGTTCTCGAATTCCAATTCATAAAGTTCGGGCAGTCGTGGAATTTGTGTCCAACTTTCAAGGGGAAACTAAGGGGGAACTGATCCAACTATACACAAGTTAACATGGTGAACGGAAACGGTAGCAATCAACTCCCCAAAGCAATTTCACAATGAGTTGCTGTCTAGTTGATTTCGTGAACTCATGAGAAAATGTCTTATCTGGTACTGGGTGGACTATCCGGACTATAAATTGTTCAAGCCGATCTATTGTGAGTGTTAGTCCAGTGCAATTCGCGCGGCCCATATGCGCTTACCTCTTAGTTACGTTGCATGAACTAACTTCGTCATGTTACAACCACCGCCAGGGCAAACAACCAGCATACCGGAGAGAAGTGAAGGCTGGTATTCTATTGCGATTACGGATGAATAAGTTTGTCAAAGTTGACCATTAACAAGTATTCAAGGTAAGTGTAACATGTAAGTGAGGATTTCCGGAGACGTCCGAGACCAATTGTCGAAATTAATAGGAGTGCTTTACAGAACGCTTTGGATGGTAGCTTGTTATGCATTGCGTGACAGTGACGTGTGTGAATCGAAGTGAGGGTAAAAGCACGCTGTCAATGCCTTCAGGCACGGCTTGGCTTTACCAAACAGTCTTCCTTGGATAGTCTTAGAAGCCCCACTGCAATGGTGTCAAACGTTTTTCTACAGACTATTGCTTGGAGTATATTATGGTTGACTGTTTTGACCTCAAAGTTGTAAGTCACCCAATTCTCTTGCCACAACTCCGGTAAGCTTTGGATAGAGTCATCATTTTACTGCTGCGCTGTATAACATTTATCTTGTTACTGGATGTGGATCCGGTTGTGTTGAACATGGGGATGTTGAATGCAATGGTGCAGTTTGCAAGTTCTCAGGTCAGTTGCATGCTAAAATCCAAGCGCTCCTGAAGCAAGGAAGTCAACCTGTACTAGGTGTGGATCGATTAATCATGTAGGCAGGTATGTTGCCGGATGCTGTGGGGATCCATGATTTGATTCACAGAGGAGTCATGGTCCAGCGTTTTGTGAAGCAGTGTAGGTTGCTAAGCTGCCAACTAAGTACTCAATGTGTTTTTGCAATAGTAGAATGATGATATTGTGGAAAAGCTAGGTAGAACTAACAGAAAAATGAACTAATCAACTGATTCATATAAAACGAAGACAAATATAGTGTTACCATCATTTTTCTTGTTAAATACTGTCAAATGTATTAAAAAACTCTCTGCTGATATGGGTTTCAGTAGATAGTGACAGGCACGTCGAACTGGCGATCAGTTTGGCGTATGCGATGAATTGCAATCACGCCTGAAGTCCGTACGATAGATAGTGTAAGGAGTGTAAACAAAAATTTGTGGAGACTTCAGTTAGTTCTCTTTGGTGATCCTCATGACAACGGAGGTGACTTATTTAGGCCCCAAAAGTTTCTCCTTTTGACATGCATGGTGCATGGTATCAGAGACCTTACTTTTCAACAAGCGCGCATCCGTACAATCTGCTGGGCTCATGCTCCCTTAAATGATTACACGTACGCATGATTATGAACTAAGCTGCTGCAAAAGCTGGTTCAGAGATGTGGAATTAGGATGTGTTGCTCCGTGCCCTAATGTTCATTGGCTATTTGCCTCATGCTCGCGTGCATTTATCCAAAAGCAGTAACTCGATGGTCGGCACTATCTTCCGTTAGAGTGATCTAATGCAACGCTGTATGTAACAAGTGTCAGTTGGTTAAACCTAAGTGGATAGAACAATGCGTTTTAAAGCACACATGGTTTAAAAGTTGTCAGTGGAATCCATGATTATTTTATTTTATTCCTTCGAAGGGGATACAGTCTGGTAGCTATGTGACAAACACAAAGGGTTGGCAGTTTTGAAAATAAATGCCGCTTAATGGGTCGTTAAAACTATCTCCATCGTTTTTAACGCATAGTTTCAGTTAACCTTTTGTAATAGTCAAACCGAGATCCTATGAGTGTCAAGGAACTGAAAATGTTGCCTATCGGAGCTCTAACTTTCATTGATCTGTAGCACGCTTGTTCAGAAACGTCGAGAGATCAAGTGTGGCACGCACGTAGTTGTAAGATCTGTACTGCGGCCAATGGGTGCTGTACCACCATTTATCTCCATTGCGTCACGAGATAAAATGCAATTTTACGAACAACCGCTGCCCTCGGTAGGTTTGAATTTCATTTTATATATCTCACCGGCGTTCATAGCTCTTAAACCAATGCTATGGAGTGTATTCCGGCCTACCAGGTTTTAGAAATTATAATTCACGCTGAAACAATTACAATCGTGCAAGCAAGTGAGTAGCCCCTTTTGTTCTGTACAATGCGCATCAAACACGTTAACATGCAATTTCATTTTACATGATGCTATCTCATTCCCACAACCCTGCTTCTAATATACCGTTGAGTTGTTGCTTAACCGATGCGAATTTTGTCCACTTGTGTAGTCTTCAGAGTTGCAATACTCCCCCTTCCCGACCTACGGGACGTGTTAGGTCTATACTTTTTCATCCGTCATAAACCACACTTCCATTAAAATCATTTTTAACACAAGCAGCCATTGATGCAGTCAGTTGGATCAAGTGAGAAAGAGTTTTTAAGGCCTTCTGTTGATATAAACCTTTTCCTTATGCAAACTCTAGTACTTTAAATCATTGTTGACAAAAATCTATGAATTTCCGGTCCGCTGTTCTACCATTGAGCTACCGAAGGCTGACGATTAGGTGCGCAAATTTTAATACATGACATCTGCTTGGTGCGCGACGTATTGCCAATGGGCTCACAGTACCTGTCCTGGTGTTGCAGATTGGCTCACTCACCCGTCACTTCCCAAGAGACCGAAGTACCTATCCTTCAGATGTCCAATGGGTGATGTTTGATTAATTGTGGATGTTTGTGAGTGGTGTAAAGTTTGTAAAAGGTAGAAGTCACGATTAAAATTCACGCGCAATAATGTGCCTCGACGGAGAGTCGAACCCCGGTCCACGAATTTCCGGTCCGCTGCTCTACCACTGAGCTACCTAATCGTCAGCCCTCGGTAGCTCAGTGGAAGAGCAGCGGACCGGAAACTCGTGGACCGGGGTTCGACTCCCCGTCGAGGCACATTATTGCGCGTGGATTTTAATCGTGACTTCTACTTTCTACAAACTTTACACCTCTCACAAGCTTCCATAATTAAAAATCTATGACAAATTGTTAGACTAACTCAAGTCACATGTTTTGCTGCCTGTGGGTAATGAGACATTTTTCCATCGAGGGCATGTTAATATGAATTCTCTCTTGGGGTTCTCGGTTAGATGAGGTATATTTGCAAACGGAGGTACCTACAGAGGCATCGTCATTAAGGTAGGAAAGAAAAAGTAGTTATCCTAGAAAATTGACTTGAAAAAGTCACTAGTTACTGCGTGCCGCTTCCGGGTTATTTACTGGGACTTATGTGTGTGGTTGGCAAGATAAGCTTTGTAGTGCCAGAAGGGTTGATAGATATATAAGCGAGCTGTCGTAAACCTTCTTTATGTCTGGTGAAATACTACTTAACTGTGTCCTGAGTTTAGTTTCATATTCAAGTAATTTGACAAGATTCTATTCTGAAGGACCAGTGCTGAATTTCATAAACGGTCTTGACGAACAGAAAAATGTTACACGATTTCAATATACCAGGATTCACAACCACTCCTGAGAAAAATAATCTGGAGCCGAAGAAGCGGTAGCTGTTAGTAGATTGGTAACGGTTCCATTTGTGTCTGGGGACAAAAGTATCGGGTGTTTTCACTGTTGCGTACGCTGCACTCTGTCAAGAAAGACTGTAGACACACAGGAAGACAAGCGCTATGTCACGGTCACCTAATGCCATCAAACCAGAATGGAGGGCATCAGAGAGAGGGTAGTGTTACAGTTTGATCGGCCGATTAACCTATTGATCCTGTGAAAGTCAAACGCTACGGTAGATGATAATTTCTGTGACATCAGGTAACCCGGTCGATTCTGACACGTTGTAATCCGTAAAAATCTCACAACACTAATTGCAATCTCATATAGCTCACTAAAGTCGACAGTACTAGAGAAGTAGTACGGCCCGGTTCGCTCTTGCGTTTGTGCCTTATCATTTAGCCCCAGCTCTGGACTTTGTGATTGATGTTAAGTACTCTTCGTTGTTCTGATAAAACTTACGCATTGTTCTGGCTTCGTCAATTAACTTGCAGTTTGGAAACATTATAGTGTTGCCCATCCCAACACTGGCACCCCAGGACCGCGGTTTCGTCCTGGTTGGGACTCATCACTTGGAGATAGCCTGAGTTGGTCTGGAACTCAGTTTGTTTGTGCGC